TAATCGTGAGCTGTAAATGCTTAGAAAATGAAACTTGCTTGTCTCATAATTCTATAGTAATGAAAAGATTAATCAGGAAAAGGTTGGTTATATTTCAAGAATAAAAATGACCTACGATTTTCAGGGCTAGAAATCATAACCTCCTTCTTATCCCGGCAGCTCTGGCTGCCAAGAATTTCCAGGGTTTGTTCCTTTTTCATTTTTTTGACCTCTAGCAGAATTTAATTTTGTTTTCATGATTGCCATCTTTTAAAAATTATTCCCTCTTTGCTCTTGCCAGTTCAAAGTAGGCAAAATTTATAGTTGTAGTGAATGAAAGGCCTTTATTGGGACATCCAACCCTTATGAATATATCTGTTTTCCAGCTATAGTTCAATTACTTTTATGTAGATTGAAATCCAATATTTTCCTGAATCTCATTTATTTCGCCTCTTACTCACTGTGCTTTTAGTTTGGTTTTATCATTTAATTGAAATAGATAATGGAACATAGAAAACAAGCTAAAATCTTAGTTATTTGAATAGAAATAGATTTTTGGGAGACTGAAATTGGTATAGGCTAAGATCCACATTAAAGGCTTGGCACTAATAAAAAGATTATTACCATAAAGTCATTTGAATAGGGGTAATTTAAAATTTGTCACTGAAATTTTTAAATACTTTTTAGTAAATCAGTAATACTCTAACAAAACTCTAAAAGAAATATTCCAACTACTGAGTAGTAGCACTAATAATAAAAACATTTTAGCAACTTTAAAATTTATGTAAATAAAGCTAATTATATAAAACTAGTTAGAAAATTATTTCAAATATATTTGTTGATTTTAGTGGAGATTCTAAAAGATCTGACTCCAACATGCTAGACTAGACGAGGACAAGAATCCCAAAAGAATTGTATAAAACTGACTCACTCTTCACTTATTTATGACCACTAATTTTACCATATTTACTTTTCGTTGACCTCAACCATGTTGAGTGACAAAGTTTTATCTTCAAATAGTTACCAGTTAGTCACTGATGCTGACACCTGCACAACAAATATGTTGGTATAGTTGGAAGCCACAAAATGCAATTGAAAAATACTCTGTAATTTAAATAATTCATTAATTTGTATTGCCACCAATCCTTTAGTTAATACCAGTGAGTTTTTCTTTAAAGACGAAAAATAACTTAAATGATGACCCAGCTTTAATTTTAAAAGTTAATAATCAAAGAAACCTTTCTTTTATTTGTGATGTTTTGACTTAGAAAAGAACCATGGTTCCCAAATTTTGAAATATTATCTGTGTTTACTAAGGTAGCCTACATTTTTTCTTCACATTTAACCGATATTTGCAGTGAAGAAGGTCTAATTCAGAATGAAGAGTGGAATTTCCGTCTGAGCAGAAGAAAAACACCTGCCATTAATCCCAAGAGCACAAGTGGGGTCTGGAGTGTCCGAAGCAGGCACCACAGCTGTGAATGGAGGTTGACCTCTGCTTCAGTTCTGTCTTGAGCTGGCAGGTGCCAGGACGCCATTCTGTCTGCTCAGAAACTCTCCCTTCTGTAGCAGCAGTATTTATTGCTCAATTGTGAATGCAAATTTTCATGTGTTCACGAATTAAGCATCCTTGCTTATGGCAAACTGTCTGAAGAGCTCTAGTTGACACATGTAGCTTTGGCATTAATAATTGGACTTTGAGGGGAAAAAAAGTCATCTTTGTTCCCCACTGTAAAATTATTTCAGAAAAGCTTTGACTTCAAACACCTCATAGAACCTAACAGTGACTTTAGAAGACTGGTAAAGCGAGAGACTTGCCTTTGAAAATCTCACCAGAAAAAGCAAATAGAACTTTAAGAAGGAGAAGCTTTTGGGAAGAAGGTGGGTTGAAAGCTAGGGAGGGGTCCACATTAACTATAAATGACTTTACAATAGCTGGATTTTCTAGGGATGATTTTTTTCTCTTAGTGCTAGTATATGGGGAGTATTTGACTCTAGCACTAGACTATTTAGCTCTTCCAGATCAGACTATTAAGCTTTTTTAATCAGCTTCGCCCACCATATTCACTAGTGATTAGACCATTGCCAAACTCTCTGTAGGCATTCAACAAATGTGTATAAAAATAGAGTTAAATAACATGCTATTTAAATAAAAGTTAGAATCTCCATTGTATTTCTTAAACTTGATGGTAGGTATCTTCTCATTCTTTTCTTTGGATTGCCTTTGGCCCCACCAAAAATAAAATTCTACTTACAGAGTATTGGTGAGCATTTTGTGTGTGTTTTAAATGACCAAGTAAATTCATTAAACTTAATTTTACAGAGGTTGGCACACGGACTGTAATAATTACTCACTACTTGATTTATTATTCATTCATTAATGAAAACATTAATAAAAGCATTAAAAATTTACTGAAAACATTAAGAAAATTAATTTTCCTAGCCTACCCTTTTTAATGGCAAAATTATTTTCTGGGAAAGTGATAAGAGGATTTGTCTATTTGATTCTGTTATCTTAGCCCTCTCTTCCCCTTGTTGATCCCCTATAATTTCTCTTTCTCTTATTTTGAACTTGAGATCTTGGGACCACTGTCCCCAAGATCCACCTCTGTGGGAAATGCAGTTGGGAGGCATTTTGGAAGGCATCTGTTGAAGGCAGGCACAGAGTTATCATTCTTCCTGAGAATCTAGTGCTAAAGCTGTGTCCTAACACTTAGCATCCCAAACCACAGTTTTTAAATTCCCACAGGCTAGTTTAAAATCCAGGCTAATTCACTTACAAGAGGCCTACCCATGATAATGTTTGTTTGATTTTAGGCTTATATAAAAGTATTAATATAATATTTTCTTTATTAGATTGGGAGATTAAATGCTGCAACAGGTTCTTTGTTGATGGTAAAATATAGGAAATATAAGACATGATGTTATTGTTATTTCTAATTTTATGATAACCTCACAACTATTAATGGAAGTGCCACAACTGAGAATGGGAATGTGTTTGGTGCAGTTCCTCTGCCCCTGATACTTAAGAGGAGATATTTTAGTAGGCAGAGCATTCCTACATGCCCACCTCAAGTGACAGAAGTTTCCACTAAGAAGGATCTAAGAAGGGTACTTTGCTAGAACATTGGTTTTAATTTTGGTCTAGACTTCTCCTTGTCTCCCAGCCCTACTAAAAGTAAAAGTGAGACACTGTAGGTAAGTGTGAAATGTTCCAATTCCTCAGGCAGTCTGAGCCCCGAAACATGATTTCATTTTAAGAGCTAGGGGGAAAAAAGTATTGATGCCTCTAGAATTAGTATTTCCTACTAATATTTTCATTCAAAGGTAAATTAAATCTCAGTGTGCCTCAAGAATAGGTAGCTATGCAACAAAACAGAAATTCCTAAAAATATCCACGTATATATATGGTCATCTAATTTATGCCAAAGGTAACACTGTACTAGATTGAGGAAAAAGATGCATTTTCAATAAATGGTGTTGGATTAATTTGATATCCACATGTGGGAAAAAAGCATCTTGACTTTGACCTCACATCATGCACAAAATAAATTCTCCATGAATTCAGATCTAAATACAAAAATAAAGTAATAAAGCTTTTAGAATCACCACAGAAGAATCTCTTCATGATCTTGGAGTAGGCAAAGATTTCTTAAGTGGAACACAAAAACAATTAACTATAAAGAGAAAAACTGTTAAATTGAGTTTTACTAAAATTAAAAATTCTGTTTATTAAAAACACCTTTAAGAAAATAAAAACATAATATGCAGAGTGAGAGAATATATTTGCATGCTCTCTCTCTCTCTCTCTCTATATATATATATATACATATATATATATATACACGCACACATATACATATAGATGTATGTGTGTACATATAGTTTTACAGTATGTAATGTGTTGTATAATATATAAGGAACTCGAATCAATAGGACAACTCAATAGAAAAAGGGCAAAAGACGTGAATACTTTATGGAGGAGAATGCAAAGTGGCCAGTACCTAAAAGGAGTTCAACTTAATTGATCACTGGGGAGATACAAATTAAAATGCAATATAAAACTACTGTACCTCCTGCCAGAATGCCTAATGTGAAAAAGATGGAAAATACCAAGTATTGGTGATGGTATAGGGGAACTGAAGTTCTCATACATTGTTAGAACCACATTGGAAAACTATTTGACAGTATCTACTAAATCTGAACATATGTATTTTCTATAACCTAACAATATCACTCCTAGATATATACCCAACAGAAATGCATAAAATATCACTTGCCAAATGTTACTGCATACACATAAAAAGAAATACATACAATTTTTAATCAAAAGACAAATACTAAGATATTTATAGCAGCATTATTTGTAATAGTCAAGACCTAGAAACTCATGGAAAAAAATGGCCATCAACAGTAGGATAAACAAATAATGGTTTATTCACACAATGGAATATTTTAAAGCAGTAAGAAAAATGATTTACAACTGCACAAAAAATTATGCATGAATTTCACATATTTTGAGCAAAAGATGCCAGACATACAATATGATTCCATTTATATAAAGTTCATAAACTAATCTATTTGGTCAGAAGTCAAAAATAGTGGTTACTGTTGGTGGAGAGTAATGAAGAGGAAATGTCACAATTTGCATTTCTGGGTTTCTTTAGCTGGATCTACTTGCATAGAGAGGTGTGTTCAGTTTATGAAAATATATTCAGCATATAATATACTTATGACATGTATACTTTTCTGTGTGTGTGTGTGTGTATATATATATATACATGCATATACATATGGATATAATGATATATGTACATATCATTATACATTATACCATGTATGTCTTATATTCTAACCGTATTATAATTATAGTTTAGAACCCAAAATACCTTGAGAAATTTCATTAACAGCTATATCTCTGTGTCCTTTACATGAATCTTGCAACTAACCCTAGTTCATCTTTCAAGCTATAATGTGTAAAAATGTATTTTAAAAATGTTTTTTTTTTGTCTTTTTTTCAGGGTCCTCCTGGTCCAAAAGGTGATAAGGTAAGAATACGAATTGTAGAAACAAACTAAGTTAGTGGAAATTCATATTGCTATGACTTATATACTATGTTTTATTTTGATCTTTTTAATGAGCATCATATACAGACTTAGTGCTAAAACTACTATCATCTCATTTTTCTACCCTACAGGGAGAACAAGGTGATCAAGGACCTCGGGTAAGTTGTATTCTTCCAATCCTGAGTAGAAAATTAGTTTCGGCTCCAAACTTATTGAACGAAGATAGTTCTAGCTTCATAACTGCCTTTGTGTCACATAGTTTCATAATAGCTGGCAAAAATACCATACTAGTTATTAGTGAAATAGCCTTAATAATAACTAATGTGTGTATCTCGTTGCATTATCTTAACTTGATACCTGTAACTAGAACACTCTACAGCAAATAATAGCCTTACTGATTAAGGACCAGAATTCCTACTAAGAGTCAACAATAATACCTTTTCAATGGCCATTGGGTCCTTCAGACTTACATACAGCATTTTGCCGTATAAAGGCCTTGTGGATTCCTATTGAATTTGGCTTTTTTCTGCAGTTAAATTTTATGTGCTATCGCATAAATATGTTATATTATACATGAAAATATTAATGCACTTTATATTTTTATTCATCATGTTTGACTAATACTTATTTGAATTTCTTATTTTTTTTTATAGATTTTTAAGCAAATAAAAGGTGTTATATAATTTAGTATTCCAGGGAGGAGGGACATTCTTTTATTCCTCTCAGACGTGGCTCTTTTAACCATTATAACACAATGGTGAATGCTTTGTTGTTACCTTGGTAGTGCCAAGTCCTCTGCTTCACATCTGTGCCTTATTACCCAAATGTTCAGACATACTGTTCCAATGATGTAGTGGCTCTGTGCAGACATACCTCTCAATTTTCTCATGTCACTATGCACAAAAGCAAGTATTTGGTTGAAGAGAGTCATTTTTTTACAGTGGAAAAACACATTTAAAATTTTCAGGTTGAAAATACAGTTGTGTAGAATTTTTTTGTTACTGTGCATAATAATTCAATTCATGTATATACACCGCAATAGAGCTTTACTTGAGAAGTTTGTAGTCTTACCTCTTTTATATTTATTAAACAAGATAAAAAGTTATGCTTTTTATCTTTTCCTTTCTGTTCTTCATATAGAAATAATGATTATGCCTCAGAGCATTTCATTTCTCACGGCAGCTATCCTAGCTGATGACTAGCTTCAAGCTAAAAGCTCATCTTATAGTTGAGGAGATTAAACATCATGATATATGTCATGGATGTGAATGAAATAAAATTCTCATAACCTTAAATGATTAGAGTATAGCCACTTGCTTTGTATGTGGTGATTATTTCACATGGCATGTCTCCATGTATTGAGTATCATTTCTTTCTACACGCAATATCAAAATCACTCAACTTGCCCTTTCCAGGTAAGAGAGAGACTGTTTCCGTTCTGAGAAATCTTCTTTTGGCAAAGGAAGTAAAGGGGTGGTTCACAGCTTAGCTGTCATCAGTATGCATGCAGTCCTCAGTTTCAAAAAGGTGTGTTGGCTTTCATCGTTCCAAAAAGTGATGATTGATTATAAAGCTAGGCCAAATTTTCAGGATGAAACCTGACACCGTGTGAAATTCACCTGGTTTCATGTTGCATTACAAACTAAGACTTGGACCAGGTTTCTTGGAAGCTTGGCCAAAGTTCATGAACTACTTTGATGAACCCAGACTGCCTTTCATACAGATTTCAGCCAGTTTTCACACTGACTGGGGCCAAGTTTCACACAATTCAGGGGCCATTTAACATTTCGGGTGGAAAGTGGCAAAAAATGATCCTATTTTCCCCTGGATTTTGTTTTGTATTGAAGGAATTTGGATTGAATTAATAATGCAGGACAAATCTTCACAAGTAAAAATCTAAATGTCCTGGCAAGTACATATGAAAGAGAATGAGAACCTACCAAATTGCCTGTCTTTTCTCAGATTTCTAATTTAGAGACAAGGCAGATCGCGTTCAATGCTCTTAGCATTTTATAAACATTTCTTTCTAGTAAGATAGTATTAGCTACTGATTAGAAATTTATTATATCAAGATAATAAAATGATTTTTCTGGAATTATTCCCAGAAAAATCAGAGTAAGTTAGAACTGGAAAAGTCTTCAATTTCATGAAAATTAATTTTACCCACATCCTCTATTGGCACTCTATTCCAGCTGGTGTGGATGGAGACTGTCTTTTTTTTTTTTTTTTTTAAATAGATCTTTATATTTGAATACCATATCTTTATCCTATCGAAGATTTTGAATTCTTCTCATTATCATTCATTTCAAGTAATTTATTTCTTTTCATAATTAACTTAATAATATGTCATTCCATCATTTCAGCTCTTTGTTGGCTGACTTTCTATTATGGGATCTATATTATTCCTTGAATATCAAGTTCTTTTATTTTCTCTTTGGCTTCCTAAGTTTTAAACAGGAATATATTAAGATGTAATATGTGAATCAAATTGGGAAAAATTGAAGATAATTTAGAAATTAAGAAGGTGATACTATCTTGAAACTCTTGGACATATATTTAGCAATGTATATTGAGCATTGACCTTGTTCAATATTCCATGCTTAATACTATAGAGACTATATGTGTCTCCACTTTTCTCTTTCTCTCTTCTGCTACCACCAAATTCAACCTGCTACATCTCATGTTCTTGATTACTGTGGTAGTCTTCCAATCAATCTGCTTCCATTCTTAAGCCTGTATAATCCATTTTCTGCACAGCAGCCAGAGAGATCATTTTACGTTATAAATTGGATCATGTTACTCCCCTGTTTTAAACCTCAGAATGAAATTCAAACCACTTTGCTTGGCCTACACAGACCTTCAAGATTTGGGCCTTGTCTACCTCTATAACCTCGTCTCACACTGGTCTTCCCCTCCACCCACTATGCTCCAGCCACGCTGTGTTTCATGTGTTTTTCAAACATACCACACTCACTCCAACTTGATGATGATTTTCTATTTGCTCTCTTCTGGTCTTCTTCTGATGGGGTTCTTCTTATCATTGAGATTTCATCTCAAATACCTCCTCAGGGAGAACTTCCCTAACTATCCAGTCTAAATCTGAGATTATCCTATTTGTTTATATATTTACTTTCTTGTTATCTATAAAATGTGTCCCTTCTTGAAATGTAAACTCCAAGTGCATGGTCTTTCTTGTTCATACCACCATCACCTAGAACAGTAAGGGCTCGATAAATATTTATTGAATGTTAGAATAGGATGTTGTTATATCATTACTACCCTTAAGGATCTGATAATCTCATGGATGCCTGAATAAGAAAACTATATGTCTTAAATAGCTATGCCAAGAGATGTTAGAAAAGTGAACATTCTACTATTTTTAATAAACACTGGAGACTGGAAGAGTTGTCCCTTGAGCTAGGACTTGATAAATGAGTAGTCTTTAGAAGATAAGATTAAGAGCAAGACATTACACATTCCAAGAAGAAGAAATGGTACGAACAATATTATGCAAGTAGAAAATGACAGGATTCACTTAAGGAACAATAATATTTCATTTACCAAGGAAATAGGTTAAATATAGAAAAGTTATATAAGGCTAATTTTTTTTTTTAATCAAAGTTATATTATGGAGCATTTTGAATATTTGGTGTGGGGATTAGGAAGCCATTAAAGATTTTTGTATTCATCATTTGACGTGTATTACCACCAGACAATTTGGCGTTATTACCAAATGTTTTTTTTTTTTTAATATATAAAATTTAAGAAATGTCCAACTATAGAGAATTTTTATAAGATGATTTGAATTGAACTGACAAAATATCAGAGAAAGCTCCATGTTTTCTATGGGAGTTAGAATATGAGTTTATTTTTCTCACATAGAGAAGTTCAGAGAAGGCAATAGATGGCGCTATTTTTATAATTCAATGATGTTACTATGGAAGTCTCTGAATCTCTTGGCCTTTCTCTCATGGTTGGAAGAAAGACTTCATGTCCAACCATTACATCTATAACTATATCATCTATATCTATATCTATATCAATATAACTCATTTATTTTAAAGATTATATGTCTGTATCTATATCTATCTATATCTATATCTATGTCTATATCTATAATCTATATTTATATCTATATCTATAATCTGTATCTATATCTATATCTATATCTACATCTATCTAATCTAATTGGTAGGGAAGATAAAGGGAGAAGCATCCATATTAAGAAAACAAAAATTTTGCCATGAATTTCACAGTGGCCTTCTATCATGTCTCATTGGTTAGACTGTGTCACATAGTTAGCTCAAAGCTGGAAGTGAATCAAGGAGAATGAGATTGAAAAGGAAAGTTGGATCATCTCACCAGTAGGGTTTGCCATAAGTACCAAACAAAAATCTGAACAGAGAGGGAAAGCCAGAGATGACACTAGTAGAGGAGAAATTGGTAAGAGACAGTCTTGAAGCAGAAGGTGGAAGATGAGGGTGGAATTGTGGCCAGGTTAAGGTTTAAAAAAAAGCAACCAGGGAATAAAATTAAAGAATATTGAGATGAAAATTTAACACAAGCCTTGGTGCAAATTGGACGTAGGAGCTGAAGTTGAAAAAGAAGATAAAGAAAGGTCTGAAGTTTCTGCCTTTGCATGATAAACTTGGTCAGGAGAAAGTTAAGAGGATAAATGATAAATTTAATTTTATTTATGTTGAATTTGTGATCCCAGTATTTCACTTGAATAATGTAGCAAACAGTTGGAAACATGAGACTAGAAATCTAAGGTGGTGTCATAAATGGACGTAAAGGTTACATAGCCAAACTGCCACAGAGTAAGCATTGAAACCTTAGGATTAGAAAATGGTGGGTGGAAGAGTGAAGCAAGAAACACTTTAGAAATATCCATATTTAGGGAGTGGGACAGGAAGGGAGTCAGCAAAAGAGAGTGAACACTCAAAGAAAAACCGAGACACTAAAGGAAGAATTACTTAAAAGAAAGGAGAGCAACAAAATGTTCTTAATAAAAAGAAAACCACAAAGATGAGATGTATAAAAAAAAAAAAAACTTTTAGATTTGGTATTCTGGAGTCATGGGATATTAAGGGAATGCATTTTGTTAAGTCGTGAAAGTGAAAGATTGCAAGAAGTTAAAAAGGTAAATGGTAGGAAA